CTCTCTCTCTCTCTCCCTCTTCTTGTGCGCACGATCTTGCTTGATCGTTTTCTCTGTGTCTCTGTCGCTTACTCACACGCTCATTTTCTTGCAAGTTCAACCATCTGCCTGCAGCTTGGAACCTGTGCGTCACCCTTGTAGATGAGATCTGGAACACCCTCATTCTCCTGCATGGTCAGTCATGTTCTCTGCAAATTTTGGTTGTCAGATGCTGTCAACATCATAAATACATGCTCGCTTTATGATCGGTATGCTTCCCGCCCCTTAACCGTTATGATCGGTATACTTCCAGCCCTCGAAGAAATCTGATTGGGCGATTGTGAGAAACGCTGGTTGCATATCTCAAAAAGCAGCATAGCAGTCCCATAGAAATGGTAAATTAGCAGATGTCATCTAGCGATGAGATTGAAAATCCCTGCACCTGCTAAAGAGATGTACTCACAATGAAAATGGTGGGATTCCCCATGAAAATGGCATTTGCAAGGGGGCTAAAGGATAATTTGGCTGTGGTTAATTTCCCATAGCATTGCTTAATCATCACCTTGATTGAGATGGTGAATAAGCTCCTGGAGAGAGAGTGGTTGGTTTCTCCATCATGTTCCCTTACATGTGAGAAAGAAGGAGAGCACAAGGTGAGCCAAGAAGGGAAGGAGAAAGGGAGACAGAGGGGGGAGATGAGATGTAACTAGTGTTTCAAAACAGTGATTTGGAGGGAGTTAGGTGGGCATAGGTCTCCTTCCAAGCCGGTGGTTTTAAGGTTCCGGCATCAAACCGATTAGACTGCAGCACTCTGAGATGGGGCAAGGAAAGGGGCGCTGAGCAGGGCATTCCAGCTATAAAATACCTGAGCAGCAAGGGAGAGGAGTGTGACTTGCCGAATGTGGCTCAGGGTTATAACTGTGTTAGGTTTGAGAGGTAAAGTTCTCTACGGGGTAGGGTTTTGTTGAGGTTTCAAATGCTGAACTGAGGTCCTGTAAGGTCTCCGTTGATAAAAAAAGTGGCACTCATATCTGACACGCTAGCTCTTCTAGTTCTGCGCAGCCACCAGAATGCAGCACGTGGTAATACCTGAATCGTCCGAATGGTTGATGTCAAAATTCTGACTGAAACTTATGGGGAAGAGAAAGCCAGATGTTCTTTTGTTGCGAGGTTGAGGAAACTCTGATCCTGGCCACAACAAACTGGAGGCTACGGCTGTGTTTCTGCTGACAAAGCTCCCCCAAGCTTTCTGTGCACATGGCTTTTAGAAATAAGCTTTTGCTCCGCTTTGCTTCCATGCCAATACGGAAACTTTTTGCATTCGGGGATGCTGGCCCAGGATGACGTCCAGAAAAGGTCGTAAATGGGTCCCGGAGCATGTCCCAGAGGTGTCATCGAACCTCTACCAGGAACCGGGGCTCTGGAGTGTCTTCCAGAGATACGAGTCAGTGTATGGTGGACGTCCGTTGGATATAGTGTCAGGTGGTGTCAGGTATTAAAGTGGATGTAGTGGTTGGGTCTGGTAGGATTCCCCCTAACCAGGTGCTGACGCAATTGTCAGTGTACTGATCCCTTAGGACAACATAGAGGCACAGGTAGACAAAGTTTTTCTGTGTCATATTCTCGCCAAGTGCTGGGAGGTGAACACCAGATTTTGAGTGTGTGAGCTGGTGTGAGAGCAAGCGGAAAGCACAGATGCTACGGTTGCCATCGGTCCTGGAAGATGTCCAACGCCACAGTCATCCTGACTTCGAGA